ATCAGAGCCTAAATTTATTGCATTTATCAATAAAAAGTGCAATAAACAAAGAGCTATAAGCTATTGGAAGACATTTTATTTCAGCATAAGTAAACATTCACTAAGCCCTTAAGGTCTTGAGAAATGGAATTGTCAGATTTTTAAGGAAGAATATCTCCTGATACCTGAAAGATAAACGTGAATGATCAGTTTTACAAATGCTAAAGACTAAATAACTTGCCCAAGACAAAATATCTTTAGATAGTGGTGGTAAGAGTTGAACCCAAGGATTCTTAGCTTCAAACTCTTCCTGTTTTTACTCCTGCCTGCAAGTATCATTGGAGCCCTGGTGGCACAGTGGTTAACAGCTTGGTTGCTAACCAGATGTTGGCAGTCTAAATCCACCAGCCACTCCTTGGAAACCCTGTGGGGCAGTTCTATTCTGTCCTGGAGGGTCGCTATCAGTCAGAATCGACTCGATGGCAACAGGTGTTTTGTTGTTGTTGTTGTTTTTAATAAGTATCATTAGGGCTGAGACTTGTTTTCATAAACATTTGAATCATTCACAACTCAAAACAAAATTCCTCGTATAGTGCAATAATCTGTTAAATGTTTTTGCATGAACGCCTCTTCAATTTAATGAAAGCCTACCTGGGTAAAATACATGGGTAATATGATTTCTGAATAGTTCCTGTCTATACGGAAATGTCTAGACATAGTCTTCAAAGAACTGCAGACAACCGACGATCAGGTTATGTTACAGAGATCCCTATGCTTGATTCAGAAATTGGAGTAATTTCTTAGTAAGCAAAGTATAGTCTGACTAACCCATTGTAGTCAAGTCAGTTCTGACTGATGGAGACCCCATGCATGTCAGAGTAAAATTGTGCTCCGTGCTTTTGGATTTCAGTGGCTGTAATCAGATTTTGACCAATCATTTCTGCCTTAATTTAGCCAAACCATACCCATTGCTGTTGTGTCGATTCTGACTCATGGTAACTTTATAGGACAGAGTAGAATTGCCCCATAGGGTTTCCAAGGAGTAGCTGGTGGATTTGAACTGCTGACCTTTTTGTTAGCAGCTGAGATCTTAACAACTGAGCCACCAGCGCTCCAATTTAGCTAAAGTTAATGTCAAAAGTACAATTTCCTCACGTAAATGCCAGTGTATTTTGAAAGCGTATTCTCTGGAATATGCCTTTTATAATCAGCGGACACTCTACTTTTTGTCCTACTTTTAGCAAACTGTCTCAGCTCTCTGAACCTTAATTTCCTTTATTTAAAATGTGTTTCTGTGAGCCACATGAGGGTAAAATATAATAATATGCCTACAAATATTTATTCACCAAAGAAACAAACCAAACCCCTTGCCATCGAGGCGATTCTGACTCATAGCAACCCTATAGGACAAAGTAGAACTGCCCCATAGGTTTCTAAGGAGCAGCTGATGGATTCGAACTGCTGCGCTCTTAACCACTGTGCCTGATATTCAGTAGATCTAAAAATTTAAAAAAAGGATGAGTATCAATTACCTACTGCCCCGTAACAAATCAATGGCATAATTAGTGGCTTAAAATAATGTGCATTTTATTTGCCTGTGATTCCGTAGCAATTTTGGCTGGTGGTGCCTGGGGTCACTTCTAGGAATAAAGTCATCTCTAATTCAGTGGGCTGGACTGTCTAAGGTGGTCTCACTCACGAGCTGCCTGACGATGCTTGTGGTTGGTTGGGCCACATATTTCTCACTGGTTGGCTCGCACTTACTCATATGATAGTAGAAGAGTCTCCAGCAGCAAGAGAAGGCAAGATCCAATGTGCAAGCACTTTTGCATCTCTTTTGTCAATGTCACATTGGTCAAATCTAATTCTATTGCCAAATACAAAGTCCCCGTGGGAGAGACCTATGCAAGGTCTTGATCACAGAGAGGTGAGATTATTGAAGCTGTTGCTGTTAAAGTCTACCACAGTAATCCATTGTAAAAACGTCTTTGGGGCAGTGTCTGACCTCCTCCAACCCCACAAGGGGGAGGGAGAACCACCGTCAACAGCACAAGGCTGACTTCCATGAGGTGAAGACCGGACAAGCCTCCTCTGTCCATCATCTTTACGATTCTGACACCAACTGTCCCTCACACAATACTCTCTACTTCTCTGCTGGGTTCGATAATTCATTGCAATGGCCACACAGAACTCACAGACCATATACAGGAAATGGCTCATGCGGTTGTGGAGGCTGGCAAGTCCCAAATTCACGGGTCAGGCATGGGCTTCTCCCTGGCTCTCAGCCTCTGCCCAAAGGTACTCAGCTTTCTCGCTCTGTGGGCCTAGAAGCCCACTGCACTGTCTCCTGCAGATCTCTTCTGCGAGTCTCTCCTGGCTTGATGGTGGTGGGCTCTTCTCCTTGCTCTGGAATTGTCTCTCTTTTAAGGCAAAACTGACCAATCCGCTTGGTGGGCCACACTTATCTTATTTGCACAGCCCCGCCCAGTCACCTGGGTGGGAGTTACAAGACCATGGCGAGAAAGGCCACACACAAAAGTAATCAATTATACCACATCCATTCTTCCTTCTCATGGGTAAGATACAACACTTATTGAATATTACTGACCTCTGATGTTTTTGAACTTCAGAAACTAATACTTCAACCCTCCATAGTCAACAGTTCTCTCTCTCATCATTACACCTCACAAGACTTTCATGAAGACTAAGTTTAGCAACACAGATGACGTATTTTAGCAATGCCTGTCACGGAGTAATTATTCCATATGAGTTTGTGCACACTCTCTACCTCCTTTCTACCGGACTTTTAATTTCAGGCATAGCTGTACCATTTTCATCATCCATAATCTCATATTACAAAATTTGTCTTCCTGAATCTACAGAACATTTCTCCCCAGCTAGATTTACATCCTAATTATAAAAGGTCAGGGGAAATGAGAAGATGGAATGGTGAAAAGAGCATAGCATTTATCGAGCAATCTGGTATAAATACAGGCTCCAACATTCACTAAGTATATCTGACCTTGGGCACGACCCTTAAAATAAATGAATCTCAGTTTTCTTGTGCATAACGGGGAGCAGTAATGCTGCCTACCTCGATGGGTTGTTGTGAGAATCAGATGAGAGACTGTATGGGAAAGCGTGTTACAAATAATCAGGTCTTATAGAAATAGAACTATACATCCTCACTGATAATAGCTCATTTCCTTTTCCTCTACGAAGCTTTCCTTGGCCATCCTCAATCTTACGCTGAGCTAAAGACCCTGCTCAGTGATCTCAGTGAAATTTGTGCATATACATCAGTACGTTTGTGACATTATATTGAAATTATACCTGTAAATGCATCTCCTATGCTCATATACAAGCTTCTTCAGACCAGGAATTATATGTATGTCTTTTTCATCTTTGTATATGGAAATTAGCATATTTATTATGATAAACACATAATAAGTGTTCAGAAATGGTTGTAGGACTAAATTAATGTCAAAGAAGAGCATCCAATGGTCCTAGCTGGATCAAATTCCACCATTTAAAATTCAATTCATTTACCAAATCAACTTCTATTGAAGTTTATATATCTCACTTAATCTTGATAACAACTCTGTGATGTAAGACATATTTAAATTTTACAAATGCATTTATACATGCATCCATTCATTCATCCATTCACTCATCCAGCCACCCATCCATTTATTGCTAAACTTGGTGATAAATACTGTGCTGTGCTTTGACAATTTAATAGTGAAAAAGAAATATAAGTTCTCCTACAATTCTCAAATATTAGAGTCTGGCAAGTAAGAATGGTTTTAAGAAGAAAAACCACCAAAGAGAATTCTCAGGGGTTTTATTGGACACCACGAATAGAACAGATGGGTCCTCTAACGTAGGTAGTATTATTATCCCCATTCACAAATTACAAAACTGAGGGACAGAATAGTTAAGTAATTTTACCACATCACACGGCTAATAAGGTGCAAAGCCAGGATTCCGATTCAGGTGGTGTCTCCAAGGCCATTCTATTAACTGCTAAACTACAGTCCATTAAAATTCTTTCAGTAAAGAAGTATTTTATTATAGTAACTTGTGTGAATGTAGAAAAATAAATGTCTCTTGAAAAAAGAAGAAAAATGAGAAGCAACAGGAGGGGGAGGGGCAGGAGGAGAAACACAGTAGCTTAGAGAATTTAAGTAACTTGTTGAAAATTAGGCAACTAGTT